ATTTTTTTAGTTGCTAATTAGGTGAAGGTTTACATTTCAGATCACAAGTTTTGTTTTCAGCAACTTAAACGACTACTTATCCACGCCGTGCCTCCCCCTCAATAGCTTGCCTTGCCTCACGCTCGATTTCCTATCTCCCTCCTGTAGAATACGATCTTCCTTCCCCAAGTTAACACCTGCCTACCCTCGAATCCCACCGCTTGTCTGTCCTGTGTCCTCCTGTGGCGGCTGGTGTGTTGCTGTGATGCTGGAAGCTGTCATTGGAGGACAACGCGTTTGGTGAAGCAGAGGGGCAGTGAACGAGAGCTACAACAACAGACTCCGGCCTCGGAGCAATTGTGAGGCTGGCACAGGACCGCGCAGAGTTACGTTCTGTTGTGCCTAAGGTCGCTATGGGTCAGACCTGACTCGATGGCACCTAACATCCGCCCCACTAATCTATTGCTTCATTTTATCTCCCTTATATCCCTTTTTGGTAACTATCAAAGTCTGTTTCCTTTGGTATGAAAACTTTTATCTTGATTTTTCCCCCCTTACCACAATGGTCTCATACAATATTTGTCCTTCGGTGATTGACTAATTTCACCCAGCATCAGGTTCGCCAGGTCCATCCATGCCATGCTATGCTTCATCATTTCATCATTATTTTCCAGTGATGCAGAATATTCCATTGTGTGTGTACCAGTTTCTTTCTCCAATCTTGCGCATGGACACCTAGGTTGTTCCATACTGCTGTTTGGAAACAGCTGCGATGAACGTGGGCGTGCCTATGTCTGTTCGTGTTATGGCCCTCACTTCTTTAGGACATTCACCCAGCAAAGGCATGGCAAGCTCACCCTGAATGTCTCCTCCCAGTTGCTTGAGGTCATGTCATATCGCTTTCCATGGTGGTTGCACAGTTTTACAGCAACCACCCAGGGATCAGTCCCTCTGAACCCTCTCCAGCATTTGTGATCTTCTGGTACCTTGCACTTTGCCGGCAATGCCAGTGTGAGGTGGTATCTCGTCGTGGTTTTGATTCTTACCTCTCGTTTGGCTAGTGATCATGAGTATTTCTTCATAGGTGTGTGATGAATAACTTGTTAATTGATTACGGGTAAGATGCACAAGTGTTTTCAGGTCCTCAAAATAAAGATGCTGTATGAAAAAAATTATTTTTTCCCTAAAATGGCTGTCTCACTCTCTCGTATCCCACAGGCTCTTCTGCATGACAACCTTACAATTCCCCCCATCAAAAGGTGGAGTTCACTTCTTCACCTCTGGAATCTGGGTGGGCCCTGTAATGAACTTCTCTGACCAATAGAAAATGCCAGAATACCTGTGCTAGTTCCAGGCACAGCCCTCAACTGGTCTGCCAGCTCCTGTTTCCTGCTCTTGTCATGCAAAGTTTCCTCCTGGAGACTAGCTGTCATTCTGTGAGAAGGTCAAGACACATGGAAAGGGCCATGTGTTGGAGCTTAGTCAACACTCCAGATACGCTCTGAACCTATAAGCCAGCACCAACTGCCAGCC